GCGCGGCGGCTGGCGCGGAGCCGGGCGCCGCCTCCCCCGTGGAGCCGCCTGCGCACCCCGGCGGCGCAGCCGGCCCCGGGGCCGCTCTCCGCGCAGACATGGAGCTGCGCCACCAGTGCCCCGGAACCACCAGTGCCGTGTCCCCGGCCGGCCCCGGCGGGGACGGCGTGGACTCTCCTGTGGCATCCCTGGCACGCCACGGCGGCCGCGAGGCAGGGCAGAGACCCGCGCTCCCGGCCGGCCCGGATCTGCCTGTGCCCAACAGCCACGTGGAGCTTGGTGTGCCCGAGCTGGGGCTCAGAGACGGGACCTCTGCGCGGCCTCTGCCATCCGCCGCAGGCCTCAGCCCGGAGGGAGATGCTCCCGTGGACTCCACCGACCCTTCAGCGCTCCCTGCAAGCTCCCCTCCCTCCCTCTGTCCTCCTTTTCATTGCACTCAGGATGACCAGACCGTGACACTGCTCTTACAGGTGCCAGACATTATTTCCCAGAGCTTCCAGGGGGAGGTCGGGGCACATCACTACAGGACTACTTTTTCCAGCAAATCCTCCGGTGCCTACGAGTGCTGCTTTCAGTTTCTTCCCGAAAATAAACTGAGCGCTCCCGAAATTGGAGTTAATGTGTCTCCCAGCAATGCTGTCATTACCCTGGCCAAGTTGCCCAAGTCCAGCGGACTTTGGACAAAGCTATACTTTGGTCCAAATGTCAATGCCTTGCAGGTAATTATCTCTCACTATGTGTTGCAGAATTTTTGCCATTTGGATAAATTGTGCTACGTTTGTGTATGTCATTTGTTGCTTCCTCAGCAGAACTGGGGGAGTATTTTCTTTCCTGTACTGTCCATTAAGATTATTTTTGTGAAGAGTGAAGACAGTAGTCAGGTAGGCTGAGAGACAGTGAATGGCCCAATAGTTACCCACTGAACTTCTTGGCTGAGCAAGGATTTGAATCTAGGTTTACTGATGTAACATTCCTGCCATCAGACCACCTGCTAAGTGAGTCACTGAAAAAAAAAAACTCATAGTTTTTGGAATGGTAGAATGCATACCTGGTTTATGAGTATGTAAGCAAAGCTCTAATTTTAATCCTTGCAGTCTCAAGGTAATGAGAATCAGGAATCCCAGCCCAGCACTTAACTACTACACTGCACTGCCTCCTAACCTTTCCCTCACTGGCTTTTCTGAGGGTAATAGTTGTACGGGGGAAGTCAATTCTTGCAGCAGGAGAAAGGAAGAAGGCATCCTGTTAGAGCCTCATACCAGCAATTAACAATAAGCACAACATTTTGAGATACGCAATAAACATTACATCTGGTTTGGCCAGAAATTTCTTAAATAGAAATTCGCACATTTTTACCAAGTCAGTGTTGCATTTGTTGCAACTAAAAGCAACAGTGTTGCTTTAAAAATGTAGATAAAACAATTCATAATCTTGTAGTGTTTTGACCTCTTTTTACAAAATGCAGCTCAAAGAAAGATGAAAATGGGGTCAATCTATTGTTTGTATTTCATGCAGAAATTTAGTATCTCACTCTCCAGATATAAGATTTTCAGAGCAGCTTATAAACAACAACAGCACTATTTAAAGAAAAAATAAATGGCAGCGCCAACCAGGCATTCAGCAAAAAAATAACCAGGATCTAAGGATTTAGAATAAAAACTCTGAGCTAATAAAACTGTATCTTTACCTGAGTCCAGAAAGCGAGCTGCTCAGATGCTGGGGAAATTTCCCTGGAGAGAGCAGTAATTGAGGTACCATTATATCTCACTTCTAAAAGCATTGGAGACTTGGAGAGGAGCCTTGCAGGGTTTTATGGTGTTTAGGGGTTTGCTTTGCCTCAGACTTTTTAAAATTTATTTATTTTCCAATTTATATCCTGCCTTTTTCCTACAAAGGGCTCAAGGCAGCTTACATCCTTCTCCATCTTATCCCCACAACAGCAACCCTGCGAGGTAGGTTGGGCTGTGTTTGTGACTGGTCCAAAGTCACCCAGTTGACTCCATGACCGAGCGGGGACTCGAACCCGGATCCTCTGAGTCCCAGTCCCATGCTCTTAACCACTACGCCACTCTGGCTCTTTTCTTCTAGGTTAAGAAATGGTGGCTGTTCTGTTGGTTCCTGGCAGCCACAGTCAACAAACAGATGGTCACTCTGCTTTCTAGAATCGGCCTCCCCACTGCTGCCGGCGGTCTTCCCACCCAAAGGGGATCTACCCCGTAAACCTGAATTTGGCATCCTGCCACGTGGTGGTTAGGGTTAAGTTAGAAGATCACTTGTTTGGTTTCATTTAAGGCAGCTGCTTACAGAGGGATCTGGACATTGGGAAGGGAGCTGCATTAGTCTTGGAAGTGTTTAAAGTAGCCTTGCTGTTTCCAGCGCAGATTCGCTTAATTCACCCATCCTTAGGAGTAGGTCTGTTTATGCAGAGCCGTGTCCTCATGGGCCTCTCGTTGCCCGACAGAATGCAATGGCACACCAAGCAGGTTTACTTACAAGTAAGTTGTCGTAGGTGCTTGTTGTAGCAGATGCGTGTTTGCGTCCCTGCCGGCGTTCATGCGGTGACTGGGCAGGGCTTGGTGGGTTTCCCCTGGACTGAATTAGGGACTCGTCCTCTGTGTGCTGTGGAAACAGAAGCATGTCAAAGTGAATCTGCTGTGTGCTTGGGAAAACAGGGCCTCTGCAAAGGGTGGTGCCCAGATGGACTCTGTCCCTGGAAGCTGCTCGGCTGATGGTGCAGCCATTGAAACCTTGAAGTCGCTCAGAAGCTGGCCTTCTGCTCCTCCTGCTCAGTGAGCCAGCAGGTCTGGTTCTTGGCGCTCCCCTGCCATGTTTGCTCAGAGGCAAAGTCTCTCACTGTGCCTCCCCCGCCCCCTGGAAAAGGAAATGCGCTCTGCTTTTCGTGCAGCCTCCTCTCAGCATCGGGTCATCCATGGAATCACGGTCCCGTCTCCTGTCGTAGGGCTCCAAAGCGTCCTCTTTGTGCGTGATACACGGTGGCTGCATTTGCGTTGTGCACTTAAGTAGCCAGTGCGGTGTAGTGGTGAAGCGCGTGGGACTGGGACTCAGGCGATCTGGGTTTGAGTCCCCGCTCGGCCACGGAGCCCACTGGGGGACTTTGGGCCAGTCACAGCCTCTCAGCCCAACCTACCTCACAGGGTTGTTGTTGTGGGGATAAGATGGAGGAGGAGATGTGAGCTGCCTTGAGCCCTTTGTAGGAAAAAGGCAGGATATACATCGAAAAAAGTACGCTTAAGTTATATGAAGCAATCCACTGCTTTTCCATAAAAATGTTCAGGGTGGCTTATACAATTAGATACAATAAAATACATATTGCAGTTATAGGAAAAGAATAATTTGGTTGGCAACATAACAAAAAGAACAGGAAATTAAAAATACTGTGTATTAAATGTTTGGTAAGATTAAATATCTGCTAGAACAAGCAGGTCTGTGCACGGTATTGGAGGGCTAGTAGTGAGGAAGCGAGACCGGCCTTCCTGGGGGCGAGTCCCGAAGTTCAGGCCTGCAGCTGGGAGGACCCTTGCCTGCATTCCAGCGGAAAGCAATTGAGATGGCAATTGAGAGGTCGGTGAAGTGTGAAGGGGAGTCTCTCCAGAGAAGCTCTGAGAGTGGAAAACTGGTCCCTGTGATAAGCTGGTCCCAGGCTGTTTACGGCTTTAAAAAGACCAGGACCAGAGCTTTGAACTGGGTCTGTAAATGGACCAGCCACTAGTGGAGCCGCTGTAACGACGAAGCTGCTTGTCCTTATAACTGGCTTTCGTCAACAGTTTGGCGGCAGTGCTGTGAGCCACCTGAGGCTTCCAAATGCTATTTAAAGGCAGTTCCACAGAGAGAGCATTGCAGCGGTCCAACTATGATTTAATGGGTTACCATGGTGCTGTTGGAGAGCTTTGCAAAGACCCTCAACTGGCAGAAAGACGAACGAGGGTCCCAGGTCAAATCATGCCAGAACCTTCCCTAGAACCAAAAAGGACAAAACCGAGGTTGCCACAATTTGGACGCGAAGCAAGACTCAGCGGAGAAGGTAGTTATGCGAGGCAAAGTCAAAGGCTGAAGAAGAAAAGGAGGACCTGATAGGAGATGGAGTGAATCCATACAGGGAGCCCTGAGAGGGGCTGTCATGGACAGGGCCTCTTGGAGGGCTTCGGTTCATGGGTCGCCATAGGTCAAAGACAACTTGACCCCACCTTGTCGTCGTCGTCGTTTATCAGTCGCAAAGTTGTGCCTGACTCTTCACGACCCCATGGACAACATCCTTCCAGGTTCTCCAGCCTCCACCATCTCCCAAAGTTCACCCAACCCCACACCTCTCCAGTGACCCCATCCAGCCCCCTCATCCTCTGCCGTCCCCTCCTTCTTTTGCCATCTATAGTTCCCAGCATCAGGCTCTTCTCCAGGGAGTCCTTCCTTCTCATCAGGTGGCCAAAGCATTTGAGTTTCATCTTCTGGATCTGGCCTTCTAAAGAGCAGTCAGGGTTGATCTCCTCTAGGACTGACCGGTTTGATCGCCTTGTGGTCCAAGGGACTCGCAGAAGTCTTCTCAGCACCACAATTCAAAGGCCTCAATTCTTTGGCGCTCAGCCTTCCTTATGGTCCAACTCTTACAGCCATACATTACAACTGGGAAAACCTGACCACCCATGACAACAGCAAATGGCCCGACCTCACTCCTCTATGAACAAATGCCACTGGCTCACTAACCAGGTTTGGATAAGGCAATTCCGGCTCTAGCCATTTCCTGAACATCCAGGTTCACATTTGGTCTCTGAGATCGCGACATCAAAATGCCATTGTTAACCCCCCTCAGCACTAGGAGATGTTCCCGGAAAGTGTTTGTATGCAGACGCTCATCGAGTGCAGGGCAAGGCCAAAGCCCAGCTTGTGGCTGGCAATGTGTGAGGATACCCGTCCTTATATCACACCTGTTCGTGTTGCCTGGGATTATATCTTACTTCTGCCAGCGATTCCCTGTGTTTTTATTCCGTCATTTCAGCTGTGGGCTGGATGGATTTCTCTCCCTGCTTCCTCTTAATGTTTAGCCAACTGCTCTGTGGATGGTCTGTTTTGTGTTGTGTTTGCTATATTCATCTTTGTTTGGGAAGCTGACCAAATTTCAAAAGGAGAGAGAGAGACAGCACTTTAGGGAAGAAGAGTCTTTGTTGACTGTTTCTGAACAGTTTGTGCCTTTTGGAGAGGCAGTGTGAACTTTCATTTAGAGGTTACTTAAAGGTCACCAGTTTGTTAAATGGAGTTTCAACAGATTAAGTGCCCTTTTGGATAAAAATCTTAAAATTTTTATTATCTCATTCAGTATGGATCAGTGATGACAGGGAGATAAAAAATTACTCTGGCATTTCTATCAGAAGCTGCTGAAAGGTCATTAATCTAATGGTTTACCGAAACCATTAAATTCTTATGTCAGGCATTGCTGTTGGGTGTGGGTATTCCAAGCCGGAGAAGATAAAATGGTAGGTGGCTGATTTTGCTTCATCTGCTTTTTCAGCCAAAGCGTGAAACCGAGCCAAATAAGTGCTTGCATATGTAGAACAATCTTTCATCTGGACGCCACGAAGGCAAAACACCCTGTGGCTCAGCTGCTGACATGGATCTTTGCCTGATAAAGAGGAAGAGAACTGCCCTGCATTTTGTATTTAGTTTCATTTTACGATAATACGGGCTTCCTTTTTGTGTGTCTTGTTCT